TGCTAAAAAGAGTGGCATGAATAGTGACTCAAAGTAAAACCACGCAAACACATATGTAAATTTTAGCTTACAATACAAATACTATCTTGCATAAAGCCAACAGGAAAGAAGTAATAATAAAACAGATACTAAAAGAAAGCAATAGTTCATACATTTGCCAAGTGATATGGTAATAGAAGAAGGAAGTAAGTTAAGCATGCTTATTCTCTACAGTGTCAGTGAACCTCTGCTTTTTTTATATCCTCCTGTTGAAGATATATCACCATCAAAAGGACACTGACAAACTGGGGAGATAGCAGAATTTATGTAGGAAAACAGCAAAACTATTGCCCTTCAAAGAGTATTAGAATTTACTTGTTTCAGTTTGCTAGTTTTGTAGTTGTTTTTTCTTGATGCAAACACAGGACCAATCAGTATTTAATATCCTTATGGAGGCTTTGGATGCTTTATAAGATGATATCTTCTGACCTTTAACAGACATTTGTCTGTTTCAGCTTCCTGCTTCTTTTAATGGCCTTATCCCACGATGTGCCAACAACTTACCTTTACATTAAACAGCCTCACATTAGCCCCTGATGTATTCCAATAGAGACTATTCTTAAAATGTAGAATTTCACCACAACTGACAATAGCATTTCATAGAACAGGAAGTAGACCCTACTATAAAGGGCCATACCAAAGAGAAAACAAAACTGGCATTTGTTTTCAGACTACAGTTAAATCGGCTTAATCAAGATTAGACAAGTTCTTTATTTCCTTGTAAATATTGCACTGTTAAATCATTTAAACTTTTTCTATGGTAAAAAGTCCTTTACTTTCCACTGATCATAATAGTCTCTAGCAGCTGGTGACAGTTGATCTGTGCATGAGTCATATTGGATATAAAGCACAATTCATGTTAAGAATGAATTATGGAATTAAGCATGCCATGCTCTTTTAAGAGTGAGCTGAATGAGTTTCAAGGTGACTTTTTTGGTCAAAGATAACTGTAAGCACAGACAGCACAAATGATAGGCAGTCTTGGAAAGGAGGGTGTTTATTTGGGATGTTATTGTGAAAAAATGAAACAGGATGTGAAGTTCAATTTTCAGTGAATTAAGTAGCCATTTTCTGGTAATAATGTTGGTACAAAAAGCCAGGAAGATTTGAGAAACCCTGAAAGAAATGAGAGTTCCATAAGAAAGGTCCATAGCCATCGAGAAGGTAATTAAATTTATAAAAGTTTTATTTTATTTTCATATTATTTAGCTACAAAATACTGTTGTGTTACTGCAGTAGGTAACCTTATAAATAATATTTGTGTATAATATATCTGCAATTATACACAATTTGCATACAATATAGATATGACTTTTATACAATGCAGAGACTAATACAGATATCTACTATATTCATACACAAAAAAAATCCAAAACAACAGAAGAAAGGGAAATTACAATAGTCCTTTTGACATTGAAATTGTAGAACCTATTTTTCTTCAAGGTATGTAGGGAAATCTGCCAATATATACCAGGATATGGATCATTAAGGCATTCAACAGGAAGAATGAATCATAGAATCGTAGAATATTCTGAGTTGGAAGAGACACACAGTGATCATCAAATCCAGCTCATGGCTCTGCACAAGAAAACTCCAAACATCACTCTGTTTGGGAGAATTGTCCAAACACTTCCTGAACTCTGGCAATGTTGGTGAAGTAACTGTTTCCCTGAGAAACCTGTACCAGTACCCAACCACTCTCTAGGTGAAAAGTCCTAAATCTCCCCTAACATAGCTTCATACTGTTCCCTTGGGTCCCTGTTCACCTGCCTCTCCACTTGGCCTAGTGAGGAAGCTGTACACCGCGATGTGGTCTGTCCTCAGTCTCTTCTTGTCTACGCTGAACAAGACAAGTGACCGCAGTCGCTCCTCATATGGGTTCCCCTTTAAAACTTTCACCATCTTTGTAGCCCTCCTTTGGACACTCTTTATACCTTTCTTATATTGTGATGCCCAAAACTGGACACAGTACTCAAGGTGAGGCCTCAGCAGTGCAGAGCAATCCCCTCTGTTGACCCCCCCTGGTGATGCTGTGTCTGATGCACCCCAGGATGTGGTTGACCCTCCTGCCTGCCAGGGCACACTGTGAATGAAAGAAGCTATATTCAGCTCTGGAGCCCTCAACATCAGAAGGATGGGGAGTCTGGAGAAGAGAAGTCTTCAGGGATGCTTTAGAGTACCCTGCCAGTACCTAAAGGGGGCCTACAAGAAAGCTGGAGAGGACTTTTGACAGGGCATATAGTGATAGGGCAAGGGGTTTAAGCTGAAGGAGGGTAAATTTACATTAGCTATTAGGAATTTCTTCACTGTGAGGGTGGTGAGACACTGGAACAGGTCACCCAGAGGAGATGTGGGTGCCCCATCCCTGGAAGTGTTCAAGGACAGGTTGGATGGGGCTTTGAGCAACTTGGTTTTGTAGATGTAAACCCTGCCCATGGCAGGGGGATTGGAACTAGATGACTTTTAAGATCAGGTCCCTTCCAACCCAAATCAGTCTATGATTCTATGGTTCTATGAAATGTTTGCCTGGGCTTGCTAGATGTTTGCCAAGAACTCAATAAATTATTATGCATGAATAACTACAGAAAAAATATTTCTGTTCTTTCTCATTTGCCATAGTTCACAAAGTTAAGACAAATTCCTCGGACCCAGAGTGTTGGTAGCCTTGATTAAATAGCCTAGTAGAAGGAAATGCCAGCTTTTGAATGCCTATTTTGACTCTGCTACATGTCATTTGCCATTGATGAATGAGCAACAGGTGTGACATATTTCACCAGTATGCAAGGCTCACAACTAATGAAGGACAAAATCTAATAATCAGGAGGGAGGTGAAGCTGACTTATCATTATTAAATATATTCACAAAATCTGAGATTGGTAATTTCTCCCACATTCCTTGTGAGGAATGACCAAGCGAATCAGGACCCTCCAGGCTGAGAAAACAACAACTGAGCAATGGTATGATAAAAAGCAAAAATGACAGAAAGAATGTGGAGAGAAAACTATTGTGTTTGCTCTCCATCTAACAAAATGTCTAAACATGATCATATTAAATGGCAGTTGACATTTAAAACAAGTGAAAGAATATGCTTCTTCACTCAATTTTTTTATATTTTAGGACTCCCTGATATAGGGACCAGATAATTTACTTGGATGCAAAAAAGCAACCTGACAAATGGGGAAGGTGAAGATCACTGAGACTAATAAATTCAAGCTCTGAAGCAGAAAGTTATTGACTTAGCAATGTTAAGGATCTGGGAGAGGAATCTGTAAAAGACCAGGAAGTCCTGTGGACTCTGACCCATCCTTCTTCCACAGGTGTCTTCTACTACCTGCCTTCGGAGTGGCATACTGGAGATGATAATCTCTTGGTATGACATGAAATAACTGTTCTTTAAAAGCTCAGCAGAGTACTGTATTTCTTCAACGAGATTCAATATTTTCTCTTTCATCTACTCTCCAAATGCTTGTATAATTCCATTTCTTCAGTCATTTTAAATAGAGGAACTGATTTCAAAATTATAAATCCTAGAAGCCTATTTCTGTCCTTGTCTTCTTTATCTATTACCTTGTCTATTTAATAACACTGCATGATCTATTGCAACTGGAGCTACATTAGGGACACCATATGTTTCAAACATTTAAAACTATGTGATACTATGGGTTTTATGTTATTATTTCTCACATATTCCAATATTTTTATTTTTAACATCTCAGAACTGTCCTCAAAATAAATTGAACCATGTAGACATTTTGCTAAATGAACAACAAATCCACTATGACAATTCAAACAACATTTAATGTCATTTTCCCACGCAATTGAGAATGATAGAATACATCTCCTGTAATCCCGTTACATTATGTGCAATGTCCCAGACAAAATCCTGTCTGAGTTGCTTTGAGTTAGTTTAGCAAACTTCCTTCACACTTCTGTAGGCATTGGACTGAGAGGGACAAGCCCTCCAGCAATTCTTTTAAAGTTTGTGATTTTACAGAGAAATTTGGCTCTTGGAAGACATAGATTTCTTGCATTCCTAGGGTCCAGAGAACAACATAAATAATTAAAGAGCTCAGTGATAGCGAACAGAAAAAAGCACTTAAGATCCATACTTGCAGCACTGAACAAGTAAAGCAGGAGTGACTGAAAGATATTTTCACCACCTACCTGATTCACTGTGCTTATACTCAGCATCTTTCTCAGCCCCCTCGTTTTAGTTTCTGGATTTATTTTTAAAGCAAAAAGAAACATGCTTGTAGAGAGCCTTGCGTTAAAAGAAATATGAAAACCTAAAGACATATACAGTTGAAAAAATGATCATAATAATTTGACACTTTAGAATAACAATTTGATGGATTTCACCTTTTATTCTCATTGGGCATGGTTCTTGAAGATTTCACTTTTTCCTCAATTTTATTTCATTATTTGAAATTACAAAGTGAACATGATAACTAAACTCTGCTTGGGCTGCTGTTAAGTCATGAATAATTTATTTTAAATATCTGACACTGCATGTAGGCACATTTACTAACCTCCAACAGCCCAAAATTTCTGAGACCAAGGTAGGTTTGCCTGTGCTCATCAGTACTGTCATGATTTTTTCTCAGGCTGCTGTCCCTGAAAAATGTTCACTCAAGATGGCTGCACAGCATGCTGGAAACTTTGCATTTGTCATTATTATTGATTTATTTCTGCAGACGCTATGCTGATTCCCTAGGATGATAAGCATTTATAGCATTTCAGTCTTTGACGCATCTTGCAAAATATGGACGTCTGATCTATAAAGCTCCTTGTGATCAGGCATCATACAGACAAGTGAAACTCAGACCCAAGTCACACGTGTAAGCAGAGTAACTCTTGGACAAGGCTGGTAAGTGCACTCCATATGCATGAGTGTTCCAGGGGGACCTATAGCACAATGCTATAAGTAGATAATTTGTAGTAACAAGCACTTACTTTAATGACCCAAGCTAATCCTCTGCTGACTTCCATACTCAGTGCAGATAGGCCTCCCTGTATGTAGGTGGAATTTGAACGGTAAGTGAAGGGTTTTTATTTGATAACCCTGGAACTCTTACTGAAGTGTTGAGATTAAGCCTGGAGTTATAAGAGAAGGGAGTATGAACAGGTTGCCTTTTCCAGATGTGTCAGCTAGTCAGTCCCTAGCAAGGGCTGGAATAAATTACTGTTTCTACTGGCAGCAACAGATAATGAGAGTTTCTGTTCAGGGGCAGAGAAGACATGAACCCCCCCCAATGCAACTTGGATTCAAACCTAGAATTTGCCTTTTTTGCGTCATCCTTTCTTTTCCTTTATTCAGTTAGACTGAAAGCCCTCTTCTACTCTGCATACTTCCTTAGATTAAATGTTTTGATGACTGTAAGGCCTCTCAGCAAATGAATTGTTAATAGGAGATTAATATGGTGAAATAGTTAGATTTTTCCCTCTCAGTTTAACTCATCTACTTACACAAAGGTGAGAGGCCAGTATAATTGTTACTTTCCATTATTACATAATAATTTTATATATTGAATTAATATTGGCTCAAATTCTGCTACAGATTTGTAGACATAGTCCTTAGTGGGTTTAGTAGGCAATTTAGTTTCATGTCTGCACATAATTTTGTGCTGAGTAATGAATGAGTCATTCCCACATATCATTAAATATAAATGATGGAATAAAATAATGCTTACATTTTGTGCTTTTGTGTTGTAGGTATTTCTACATTGTAGTAAATTGCAAGTCTGAGAAGCCCAGTATAAATCTTCTCAGTGTCAATCATGTAAATAGATAATGAAACTCTAACCTTTTTAGATATTTGAAGAACTTTTCTGTATTTTAGCTATGCCTGTACATTTCTAGACAGCTTTAAAATACAGACTGTCTTAAGATGTTTAAAGAATATAATATCTAATATTCAATAAACCTCATAACACTTCTGTATCTCTTAACTTTCAGAAACAAACAAAATTTTTGGCAAAGATGGAGGCGAAGTATTTAATCCATATCAAGGATGTAATGAAGAACTGAAGATCATTATTGCATTGCTTATAGAAACTTATTAAATAAATGGAGATAAGAATTACCTTCCAACCTTACTCATTCTGTGATTCTGTGACCGTGACAGTACTGCAGTTCTACACAGGGTTCCAAATGGTATGAGAAACTGAGAAACAAATGAAAAAATATTGTTTTCATGTCTATAATAATTTTGTGAATAAAAGTTATTAATTAGAAGAAACTAAAAAGAATTATTTTCTTGTAAAATTAGTTATGTGGGAAAATTACCTCATCAAAATATCAATTATTTTATCATTAGTTTATATACTATTACAAAAACTGTAATACACTGTTTATAACTGTTCAGATATAGTTTCAGAAATAACAAAGCAAAAATAATTTAGTGGAAATACTCTGCTCCACTATGAATCAACTGCAGGATAAAATCACCAAACTTCCTTTTCCACACCTTTGTCATAACACCCAGTCTTTTGAATCCAAACAGTCAAGCAACTATTTATATCTGAGCTTTTAAATCATAAAACTTGAATCTTAAAGAGTCCTAGAGCTCTTCTGAAAGTTCTCAGACAGCTTTTTCAGCTTTCGTTCTTACTGTTGTGACAGAAGACTGGACACTATGTAGAAAGTGTGAGAATCATATTCTTCAAAAAACCCATTTGTATTTGTTAGAGGTTTTTTACCAATTCTTTCCTAACTACTTTTTTTTTTTCTTTCAGTACTATTCCCTTCCTTTACACCTGTTTTGGATGGTGTGGTGTTTGACCTTGACTGGATGCCAGGTACCCTCCAAACTTGCTCTATCACTCCCCTCTGCAACTGGACAGGGGAGAAAAAACATAACAAAAGGTTCAAACGTTGAGGTAAGGATCAGGAGAGATCACACATTGATTCCAATCACAGGCAAAATAGACTCCACTTAGGAAAATTAACTAAATTTATTACCAATCGAAATTAAAAATAAAATAAATCTTAAAAACACATTCAACCCCCCATCTTCGCCTTCTTCCCAGGCCCTACCTCCACCCCCCCAGCGGCTCAGGGAGATGGGAAGTGGAGGTTACAGACAGTTCAACACTGGTCTTTTCCGCCACTGTCAAGGAGAGGAGTCCTTCCCCTGCTCCAGCATGGGGTCCCTCCCACAGGTGACAATCCTCCACAAACTTCTCCAGTGTGAGTCCTTCCCCTAGGTTACAGTTCTTCATGAACTGCTCCAATGCAGGTCCCTTTCCACAGAGTGCAATCCTTCAGGCACAGGCTGTTCCAATGTGGGTCCTCCACAGGGCCACAAGTCCTACCAGGAAAGCTGCTCTAGTGTGGACTCCTCTCTCCACAGGTCATCAGGTCCCTGTCAGGACCCTGCTCCAGCTAAGGCTTCCCACAGGGTCACAGCTTTCTTTTGGGCATCCACCTGTTTCAGTGTGGGTCTCCTCCATGGGATGCAGGTGGATCCTACTGTGTAGGATCCACTCCTGTGGTCCTACACGGGCTGCAGGGGAACAGCTGCTCCACCATAGTCTGCACCACAGGCTGAAAGGAATCTCTGCTCTGGTGTCTGAAGCACCTCCTCCCTGTCCTTCTCCACTGACTTTGGTGGTGCAAAGTTGTTCATCTCACATATTCTCACTCTTCTCTAAGCTTTTTTTTTCTTTTTCTATTTTGCTTTTTTTTTCCTTCTTAAACATGTGATATAGTTTGAAGCTGGCTCTCTGCCAAGTCTCCAAACCTTACCACAAGAAGTCCCCCCCCAAACCTCAGGGAGAAGAGGGAGAAAAACAACCAAGAAAAACCGAAACGAGAGAGACAACTAAAGCAATATATATATATATATATATTTACACTTATGTTACAGGTATATACGATTGAAATATACATACAATTTCACAAGGGGGAAGGGAAAAGGAACAAAACCAAAATAAAATATATATATATCCTGATTAGTAGCCCAATATCTAACAACTAAAAGAGTTAGCAAAGAAATATCTCACTACTCTCCTTGGGACAACCGAGAGTCGCTCTGGAACGATCACCGGTAACCTCCACCTCCCAAGGTCGGCAAGGCCTAACCAGGCCTCGCTCCCCAACACGACAGACTCAACAGCAGGGAACCTGCACCTCCAAGCCACCAGAAGGAAAGAGAGCAAAGGCCTCTCCTCCTTTCTTCTTATAGTCCAGCTTACACAAAAATCGTAGGGAATACTCAGTAAATCTGGACCCTTCCTTGGTTACAAACTGGTCACCAAAGAAGGCCTAGGCCAAACTACCACAACGTGTTATCACAGAGGCCTTACCACCATCTCTGATTGGCTCAACCTTGGCCTGGTTCATCCTGGAGCTGGCTGGCGTTGGCTCTGTTGGACATAGGGAAAGCTTCTGGTAGCTTCTCACAGAAGCCACTCCTGTAGTCCCTCTCCTGCTACCACATCCTGGTCACTCAAACCCAATACAGATGGCATAATCTGAAAAATTTCAGATGAAATCTTGGATTTATTATTTCTATAAAGCAAGAATTTTGCTTCTGTGTTCAAGAAGAAATTCATGCAACATATCTTTAAATATCCTTTCACTATAATGTCTCAAATTTCCCTTACTTAGCATGTCTGCAGAATTCCTCAATCAAAAAAAAAATAAAACCAGAACCCCAACAGATTGCACATGCTTCCGTCTTCCTGGAAATTATTTGCACAATGCAGAGCAATCTCATTAAATGAAAATTAACATGGTTGACATTTGAAATACTTTTCTAGAGTTTTTACTTCAATTATTTGACCCATATGTTCTTCAGAGAAACACAGGGAAGGAACAGAATCCCTTATATTTCTTTTTGAAAATATATGCATATAATTTTATAATTTTATTATAATTTACTTCTAAATCTTATGGTCCCAGATGAGTTGTGACTTTAGTAAAATTCACTTTACAGTCAATAGAAATATTACTTATATGACAATTTTAAGACAAATTAGACTTAAATGTCTAATTCAAATTTGTTTGAAAGATTCTAGAAGCAAAGAATTTAACTTTCTGAATTCTGTAGGGAAATATATGTCCCTAAAACACGTTCCAGAATATTACTTTTAGTGAAACACTTATCACGTGAAAAGGGGAAATTTCCTTGACCCTCAGTGATTTGTTTGTCAGTCAGTGCCCCAGGAAAGATGAGACCCTTGTGCCCAACCTTGTCCTGTTATGGAGACCTATCACTGAACAGTCCTGCTGGATCGGAGGGCGATTTGCCTGCCCATTTCAGGGGGCTCAGCCAACAACATAAGGGAGACCCCTCAGTGGGTCTTCCCACTTCATCTGAGTGTGTTACGTGCTGCTGGCAACTCCAGTGTCTGCAAAGGACTCACTCGAACAGTTTGCAGAACAACACTCTTTATTAATACAAAATTGTGATAGGTTAAGGTTCAAAGATTGCTGGTGATAGTATCTGATTGCAAAGATGTATTTAAAACAATACACAGACAAGCTGCAACCCCAATAAAAGTATTCAGTGTGTGTAGAGTGCAGTTCTTACTCAACAGGCTCCCTACAGCCTGATCCCAGCAGTTACGGTGGTCTCCCCTAACTTTTCCTCCATTCCCAACTTACTTTTATACTATTGCTTTATGTTTAGGTGGAGCTTGAGTGACTTTAGTCCTAAATACCTTTGTTACTGATTGGTGTAAAATTCTTTCACTTTGCTTTGAAAGATACAGTCAAAAAAATATAGAGCATGTGCCCAGGGGGGAGTGGTCATACCTTGGAGGTGGATAACTTTGGGATGGAGGTGTGTGTTAATATTATAATTAGGCTTTAATGAACCAACTTCATTTGAGGAGAGAGATTTTACCACAGTTGTTGGCTCAGCAGCAGGACATCTCCTATCTACCTTGGTTGATGGGTGCTATGTGGGTTATCAGCTGCAAAGTGCCACTGAGTTTCCCTCCCTGCAGGGATTTCCACAGAGCCTGGCCATGGTGTCTCCACTCCACTCCACTCCACACTCCATTCCATTCCTTTCAGCACGTGGTTACTATTGTGTGGGGAATCATCATGGAACATGCCAACTGCATCCATCGAGGGAGTAGCAGTTGCATTTTACTCCATAATTTCCGTACCGTTATAACTTCTGTGAGGATGGGAATATAACTTGTCAGTTTCCTCTAACTTTATCTCTGGCTATCTTTCCATGGGGTTCCCAGCCATCTTTCCACAGTACTTGTTTAGACTGACAGTAGTTTTTTGTAAAGTAAATACAGAAATATCCATACATCTTTATGTAACATGAAATGAACAACACCTAAATGTTCCTAAAATTCCAGGAAAGGACTGGGAGAGAACACTGATCTCTTCTTCTGCTGTTTCCCTGTCACGTCCACATCCCAAACACATGCAAATACCTTTAAAATAACTTTTTTTTCTCATTGGAATTTTTGCCCTTTGGATAGACCTCAGTAATTTTTTACCTTTTTTTTCTTGCAATGTTTTTACACAATCATACTCACCCTAATCTTGCACAAACAAAAAACAAATTATCTAATAAATTAATATTTTTTTAATATATGTAATGATTTTTTGTAGAAGAAGAGAAAATGGAGAACAAAATTCAAAATATTTATAGAAGTATTCTTTTACATACTCAGTGTATGTAAAAGAATTGGTTATTGGTTATTTACATACAGTGTACGTAAAAGTATTGGTTACAATATTCATTCAGGATGTGCAAAACTACTACAAAAATAGTGCTTTAACAAATACATTTTTTGCCCAGAAATGTCAGAGTTTCTAATTCTGTAAGACTGCCAAATTATCAAGAACATGTATAACTTCATTAACATGCAAATTGTCTAGATTTTGTTCTGATCAATAAACAAATGTGCAATTGTGAGAACTTCCATATTTCTCAGAAAGTTGAATTTTTCTTCTCCAGTCAGACTGTTTCAAATATTAGATCATATCACTGACTTCTAATAACAGGGGTGGATTTTCCCATGCTTCCTACTTAGAAAGTGGTTTGATACAAAACATGATCAGTAAGTCTACATATTCTCATAAATGCGATAGATACAACTGCGATGAAAGTAGGTTTATTTTACAGCTCAGCTGTTGACGACTCACTATAGAAGCCAAAGTCACTCCTTTCCATTTCAACTACATCCTTCCAAGAAAACCACCCCTAAGTCTGCTATAGAAAGGCAGAATGATCTGAATGATGACATGCCTACAGTCATTTTCATGCATAACGTACCTTGATATTTCTGAATGTATTTTACCACTAAAACCAGTTCTAAATCAATCGACTACTTAAAAATCCACAACAGGGCAAATAAGGGAATATGAATCTTCAAATGTATTCCAAATAGGTCATAGCAAAAAAAAAGGACTTTGGCAAATAAAGGTTAATTAGCTTTTCTTTAACTATCATATTAGATGTTAGTAATTAAAATACAAGTTCTTTGGCTTAATGTCTTCATTCTTAATACATTTTCATCCCAGGACACTAGCTACTGGACTTCAAAATCCCTCAATAGAATCAGTTTTGAATCAGTTTAAATCATGTGTTTGGTGTTCAGAGAAACATCTAATCTCATTCTCTGCTTTGAATCAGATCATGAACCAAAATGAAATTAGTGAATATAGTCACGATAATTTTATGCTGCCAAGAAATTAATTTCTTCCAGTTCTTTGCTCCATAAAGGATTTTACATGCTGTATAGATATCCTTAAATCACCATTCATGGCTTGTAGCTCACATTTGTATTTATAGAAGTAAATCTGTCAGAGTAGAAACAATAATATATTTTGGAGGTTAGATTTGGACTTAACCTCTTTTTTTATTCCTCCCTGCTTTCTAAATTGGTAACAGGCAGATGAAACAAAATAACAGATTGTTTTAAATTGTTGGAGTCACTTCAGATTACATCACTTACATTTTATGATGCTGCTAGTTATTATCACATGATGTAACACAATTTGTCAAAATGACAAATCAGTAACATGGCAGAAACACCAGATGTCATAGAAATGTAAGAACTGCCAGCTGAATTTAGTTAATTTGTCCTTTCCAGCCAACCTATCTAATCGTGGCCAGTACCAGATGCCTGAGAAGAAGCAAAAAACCCTTCTACAATGAAAAATGTTTGAAAAATCAGTGTAGGACAGCATGTTCTTTCTTTCTAAATCTGCTTATCAAGAGATTGGCTTATTTCCTACAATATAAGGATATAAATTGCTGTGCTAATAATTAAATTCCTCAAGTCTGACAAAAGTCTTCAGTTCCCTCTAAGTTTTATTATGTTCTTCATTTTCATTTTCATGTCCTTCTCAGCTTCTTTACTCCATGTCCCAGCTGGCTTACTCCATGTCATTTAGGATGTGATTCAGCAAACCAAACAGAAGACACATTTGTGCAAGTGTCCACATAAACTGATAAAATGCATATATGAAGAAATGAACTGTATTAATTTGTTCTTTGAAAAGCTAGCAGTTTTATGTGGAAAAATGGTAACCTTTCACAAAAGTAAGTTTTTTAAACAAAATCTGATTTTGAGGGAATCTAAATGGTGTTTTTTTCCAGATTGCATTTATCTGGGGAGTCTCTTACATCTTATGCAATGGGCACAGAAGACAAGCCGTGAAGTGATCTGCCTGCTTATATTTTGTTGAAAGGTCAGATGACCTTTGCCTGAGCAAGATATTGGCCAACCTTTGACAAAGGAAGGCAGTCAAATTGCCTTTTACAACAGACAGAGTTACAGTAACTTTAGGATTATGTGTGTTAGTAAGAACATAGACATCCTGTCCTTTCTTATCTGCACTACTTCGCTAATTCCTAGTTTCCACCATCTACTTAATAAGCAGAAGACAGTTACAGTATAGAAAACTGAAATTCATCTGTGAAAAGTAATGACTTACTGACATTCTGTAAAATTAGACAGCAAAATCCAATTTTCTGACTTCTGTTAGGGACTGAGCTTCATTTCACATGTTCACAAGTATCTGAGACAGTATCCATAGAGTTCAAGGAACCTATTTCTCAGTGTCTGTTGCCCTCGCAGAAACAGAACTCATTGCTTTTTTAAAGCAGGTTTTCCCATTTTCTAGGTTCCTGTGCCCCACCTGCACGTCTATAAGGGACTTACTAGGACTCCTGCTTCTAATTCTAGTAAACTGCAGAAAAAATTATGTTTGTTTCCCATTAACAAGTGCTACCAAGCAATTACATGCCTAGATGATTGAGAAACAGTGTATATGGAAAACACCATGAAGGAGTTGCATGGATGAAATAGGTCATGGCGAGGCTTCGCGAACGAAGATTTGGGAGATGAAATAGGTAAAAGGGAGGAAAATGTCATTGATAATGTAGTTAGCTTATATCCTCTCCCAATGACAATCTAATTTCAAAGAAGAAATAAGATTAAAAAACAGCTTTTTGTCCCTAAA